GTTTGAGTTACGTCTGAAATGCTGGCGGAAAAGTCGTTAGAGAGACGGTGGGATGTAGTGATGGAAGTAGTGAGGCCTGCCGTACCTGTCCCGATTGCAGCCGTGGAGACTCCTAATCCTGCAAGCCAGGGGATTAACGGAATGCGTGTAGGAGTTACAACGGGACAGGGAGGTGTTTATTTCCATTGGTAAACTGGATTTTGGGAGTAAGGAAAATTAAGGTACAGGTGCCTGAATAGTTGGTAGAAAGGCAGAGGTAGGTGGAAGAGCCACAAAGGAAGAAAAGTCCTTGGCTTAGGCAGAACTGGAGGTGTAGACTGAAAAGGTGAGAAAGTATTCCAGAGGAGCTAGGGTTTTGTACCCAGATACCAAGAGAACCAGCAAGGGCCGTGGCTGTTAAAGGTTGTAGTGGGGTTTGATAGGGTAATTGTGTGGAAGGAGAGGTCTTGTTTTCAAGGTGTATGAGAAAGCACTTCTTTGTTTAACAAATAATCAGGGTTTTCCCTGATTATTTATTAAACAAAGAAGTGGTGCTGACTTTTTGGGGGTCCTGTAAAGCGGACAGGTTGGCTAAATAAAGCAGCTTGGGTGACTAGAAAGTTTTGATAGTTGGTTGGGGCTTGGAGTTTTAAGGTAAAGTTGCATTGATGGAGTAGGAGGTGGCCAAGAGGTAGGCCGGAGGGTAGATTGTGTTGGAAGCAAGAAGGGGCCTGAAAAGTTAAAACAGTATTTGTGGTTACAGAACCATGTATGGGTTTGTTATTACCTGTATATGGAGTGAGGTTGGAAATGTAGGGGCGCAGAAGCTGTACATACTCCTTTTAGGGTATGTTTGATCCTGTTAGTGATGGATGACTGTGTATTTAAGAGTTGAAAGGAGATTTTTAGCGAGGGTGATAAGCTAGGCGAGTTAAGAACCCAAGTGTTTGCAGGGACCGGAGTAGCAGTATAAGTTGTAGCTGATAGAGAGATGCAAAGCCCAGCGACCCTTTGTTAGGGTTGGGTTGGGCTGGTTTAGCAAAGAATGGGTTAAGTGAAGGGTTTTGTTGAGGTAGTTGGAAATAATGGGTGCAATTATGTGGGGCAGCCAAGGAAGCAGGAAGAATAGGCAGACAAAGAATGGGGAGGGAAGTAAACAGCTGTCCTTTGTTGGGGGAAAAGTTACATGGGGTACCTTGGAAAAGAAGGGCGTTTATTCATTTTAGAAGAGTGTTAAGGGTGGCAGTGGGGGGTGGCACCATGAAAAGTCTTGGCATACAGAATGGAGGAAGAAGGTGAAGCAGCAAGACAGGAGCAGGCGTCCAAGGTTTTTCAGGAATTCGGGTGACTTTTAGAGAAGCTGGAGAGAGTACAGGGGTTTGGCACTGCAGGGTGGATGGGGAGCACAATCTGATGAATAAGGCGAAGGTTTTGGACTAACCTGTAGGTCTTGTCCGGTTTTTGGACGGGTAGGATGGGGGTATTGTAGGGAGAGTTGGTGGGAACTAAAAGGCCAGGTTGTAGTAAGCGAGTAATAACAGGCTTTAGGCGTTTTAAGGCATGTGCTGGGATGGCGTGCTGGTGCTGGGCAGGATAAGGGTGGTTAGGTTTTAAAGGGATGATGAGGGGTGAGTGAGCAAGGGGTGGGGAGGTGGTGTCCCGCACCCTAGGGTTAAGGTAGGGGGACATAAGGGGAGCTATTGAGGGAGGTACAGGTTCCAGGAGGAGGGCGTCAGTGAGGTGTGGCTGTAGCCCAGGACTAGTGAAGGAGGCAGATGATTTTGCGAGGCTATCTCAGCCTAACAGGGGAACTGGACACGTGGGGATGATTAGGAAATAATGTGGAAAGGAGTGCTGGCCTAATTGACACCAGACTTGGGGAGTTTTGAGAGACTTGGAGGCCTTGCTGTCAATTCCCACAACAGTTATGGAGGCCAGGGAGACAGGTCCTTGAAAAGAAGACGGCGTGGAGTGGGTGGCCCCCGTGTTGATTAAGAAGGGGGTGGACTTACCCTCCACCGTAAGAGTTGCCCAAAGCTCGGTGTCCCTGATGGTCCAGGGGGCCTCCAAGATGTTTGGGCAGCGTCAGTTTTTAGCCGCCAAGCCAAGGAGATCTGGGCAGGATTCGGTCCAGGAGCTCTGGGAGCCGCAACGTGAGTCAAAAGGTCCGACTTTCCATGGGGGCCCGCACAGACGGGGCAGGGCTTAGGAGGAATCCCAGGCTGCAGGCATTCCTTGGCCCAGTGGCCAGGTTTCCGACACTTGAAGCAAGGTCTGGGAGGGGCGGCTGGACGCCACAGTCTGGGCACTTTGAAGCCTTTGTGAGCTGGTGGTGTGGTTGCGGTTTGTCTTACGGCCGAGCCCAGCATCTGTAGTGCTGAGATGCGCTGCCACCAGGCAGCTTTTTCCCTGTTACTGAACACCTTAAGGTGAGGTTGATTAATTCCTGTTGTGGGGTTTGAGGGCCAGTTTCTAATTTCTGTAGCTTTTTAATGTCAGGGGCTGATAGGGTGATAAAATGCATATTAAGCATTCTTCAGGGGTGAGAGTGGAAGTAAGGATGACATTTAAGTCATTCCAGATGAGGCTATGGGCCTGGGTTAAGCATTGGAACTCTTGTATATATTTAGTAGAATCTGATGAAAAGGAGCCTAACAGTTGGTTGATCTGGGAAAGGTTGGATAAAGAGAAAGGAACGTGCATCCTAACTGTGCCTTCGGCTCCAGCCACCTCTCGAAGTGGGAATTGCTGGGCAAGGGCGAGGAGGTCACCACGGAACTAAACTATAAGCCAGACCGGATATGAGGTGGGAGGTGGCAGGAGGGGCATTAGGAGGTGGGTCGTGGGCAGAGGAAGAGGAGGGAGGCTTTGCAGGTGGGGGGGGTGGTTAGGGCGTGGATTAGGGTCTGGTTCGGACAGGTGGGGAGGAGAGAGGTCGGAAGGGTCAATGGACAAGGAGGATTCTGAGTTACTGTTGGAGGCAGAAGGGGCAGACAGAAGGGAGAGAAGGAAAATTTGGGACAGGTTGCATTGAGAGTAGAGATTAGGGTGGGATTGGAGTATAAAAAAATGCCTGGACGTCAGACCCCTTAGACCATTTGCCCATTTGTTGAAAAAAATGGTCTAGGTCTCATGGAATAGAAAAATCAAAAGTGCCGTTTTCTGGCCATTTGGAACCATTGTCTAATTTGTATAGAGGCCAGGCTGTGTTACAGAAAAAAGTGAGACACTTAGGTTTCAGATCTGGGGACAGTTGAAGAGGTTTTAGGTTTTTTAGGATGCAGGCTAGAGGCGAAGATAGAAGAATAGAGGGCAGAATATTGCCCCTGGTGAAGGAGATAAGTTTTAAGGAGAAAAGTCGTGTAGAGAGGAGAAGGAGTGAGAAGCTACCAGGGTTTTCAGTAGGTGTCCCTGACTGAATCCTGGGCCGTAACGTGAGTGAGTGATCAACGCAGGCGTCCCTGTGATTTACCAGACACCGAGGGAACACTGTCTTCCCGAGTCTGTGACCAACGTTGGAGTTTTTGAGCAAGAGAGAGAGACTTGTCTCCTCTGTCTCTACACGGATAAAGAGTGTCTCCTTTGTCTCTAAGGGAAAAGAGAGAGAAAGAGGGAGAAACTTGTCTCATTTTCTCTACCTAGAAGAAGGATTTAAAGGAAAAGAGAGAGAAAGAAGTAGAGACTTGTCTCCTTTTCTTTAAAGGAAAAGAGAGAAACAGGGAGAGACTTGTCTCCTTTTCTCAAAAGGAAGAGAGAGAAAGAGGGAGAGACTGTTTACCCGATCTGAATGTGGAAGAGGGTTGCTGGGCTGCTCTGATGTACTGAGGTGCAGGTGGTTCTCTTCACAGAGGGAGAGCAGGGACAGGGGGTCGGTCTCCCAAAGGAGCACCCCTGCCCAGGTTTTGACACCAAATGTTAAGCATGCTTTAAATGAATAGATCCACCAAAACAGGCTTTGTGTGAGTAACATGGCTGTTTATTCTCCCGGGTGCGGGCGGGCTGAGTCAGAAAAGAGAGTCAGCGGAGGATGGTGGGATAGGAGTTGGTTTTATAGGTTTGGGGTTGGCAGTGGAAAATTACGGAAGTCAACAGTTCAGGGTGGTTTTTGCAAGCTGGGGTCGGGGTGTTGTGGGGGAGGGGTATCACAAACTCCAAGGTCCAGTGTCACAGTTGACTTATCTGTTGAGTCAGGAAGGGTTGAGGCAGGAACAATGGCAGAATGTTGCAAGTTGGTTAATCAGGTCACAGGGTCCAATGTCACAAGGTTGACTCAGACTTTCTGGCTCCGGAGTCCATCTGGAGGTGTATGTGTGAGTCACAGGGGTTACCATGGCTTAGTGCATGGTGCAGTCAGTTCAAAGAACCTTGCAGTTACCATACTGGACAGAATGTTCCAGGTAGAATAGGAACATTAGCCAGATAGAATAGTAACTGTCACAGAGCTAAACTGCTGTGCTTTTATTTATTATTATTATTATTATTATTATTGAGATGGGGTCTCTGTCACTCAGGCTGGAGTGCAGTGGCATAGTCATGGTCACCACAGCCTTGACCTCCAGGGTCAAGTGATCTTCAGCCTCAGCCTCCCAAAGAGCTGGACCTACAGGTGCATGCCACTATGTTTGGCTAATTTTTTAATTTTAATTTTAATTTTGTAGAGATGGAGTCTCACTGTGTTGCCTAGGTTGGTAGGGAGCTCCTCAGCTCAAGTGATCCTCCTACGCAGGCCTTCTAAATTTTCGGGATTATAGGTGTGAGCCACAGTCCCTGGCCTGCTGTCCCTTTAGTTATAAGTAACAGAAAGCCTGACTTAAACAACAAGGATATGCACTGGCTCACCCTGTTGTCTGGCAAATTCAGCAGCTCCTACCAGCGCCCTCTTCCCTGGCCACCTACCATTATAGAACCACATACTTGTTTTCATAGATTCCTACTTCTGACTAGTGAGACACAGAAAAGTCCGCTTAGGGGCTTTGGGAAAGTTTTCCTCTTTTAGAAAACAAATATGCGGTGCCGGGGAGCCAGTGGTTGCAGGGACCCCTTCTTCCTGTCTTGAAAGTGATGCCTGGAGTCACAGCAACCTTCGACCTTGAGGGGACAAGCATGAGGGCACAAACCCAGTGTGCTTAAGATGGTGTTACAGAGAGATTAAGAGCTGTGCTCTGACTCCCTTACTCCTGATTATGTGAGAAAATTACACACAGCCCCACTCCTCATTTGTGGCCAAAGGCATCCTAACTGATGCACTCAGGTAAGTAGAAGTGCAGAGATAGGGCAACTCAGGATTCTCCCAGACCAATGGCTCCCCCAACCCCCACTTTTCCTTTATTTCTTTGGGCCCTGTCCTCTTCTGTGAGTGTTGGGTTCATCCTTACGCCAGAAGCAAAATGCAGCTGAAATGTAGCACCACACATTTACACATCTCAGTGTCAGGATTCACAGCTTCCCTTCCACACTGGACAGTGCCCCATGTCATAGAGTGATCTCCTTCTGGAAGCTTATCTGGAGTAATGATAAAACACATTCTCAGAATCCTCCAGTAAACATCTTTTTACATTTCAGGGGCCAGAATTTTGCCCCACACTCAATACTGAACTAGTTTCTGCCGTGGAGATCAACTTGCTCATCAGACCCTTAGGAAGCAAGGGCGGGGTCAGCTTCCCTTAAGTCTAAGGAGCTTGAGGAAAGAGGCAGATAACAGAAACAAAACTGGGACTCAGTTAGGAGGAGTGGTCACTTTAAAGGTGTCCAGAACTGTTCGTTGTAGCCAAATGGGTAGAGGGTCAGAGCTTCCTAAATTGTAAATATCGTTAATGGTTACTAAGGATCAACTTTCAAGTATCTGCTATAAAAGTTTAACCCATTTTTTTAGTTTTCTACGAGAATATTTCCAGGCACCATTCTGTCACTATAATATAATGAAATCTCCTTAACTATTTATTGGTAAAGCATTTTAAGAGAATTTATTTTCCTGAGCTTATTATAGTTTGTGTACTGTATAGTTGAATGATGGCTGTCAAGTGTCCAGGTCAGAGTCCATTCTTTCTCCTGCTGTCTATTAGCAATGTTGCAAGAACGTGAGCTAAAATGGGCCTGGCATATTGTCATCCAGTGGTTAATTATTAAAAACAAAACAAACAACTCTTTTAGGATTGGGTCTATTTGGAGCTTCATAAAAGAGGACACTCATATGATCAGTAAAAGGCACACAACGTTATTAGTCATCAGGAAAATGCTAATTAAAGCCACAATGAGATACCACAGTGGCTAGAATTAAGAAGACTGATAGTGCCCAGAATTCAGAAATGTTGGCAGTTTATATACTGAAAACACTGTTTTTGTGAGTATAAATTGGTTCAGCCACTTGGAAAACTGGCAGTCTCTACTAAAAGTAAATAGTACAACTCCCTGTGACCCAGCAGGTCCACTCCTGGGAAGAAAGGCAGACAAATACTCACTGAAAGACATGTACAGGATCATTTAAAACAACTTTATTCACAGTTATGTCAAGCTGGAAACAATTTAAATGCCCATCAACAGAATGAATAAATAAACCGTGGCATACTCGTGCAATCAAACACTACACAGCAGTAAGAGAAAGGAGTTACTGATATATACAACAATATAGTTGAGTCTCACATGCATAATCTTTAAGGAAAGAGTGAAATTACTGTGATATTATGGGGTTCAAGAACAGGTGAAACTCATGTATGGTTTACAGGTCAGAATAGTGGTGAAAGGTGGGTTTGGACTAGGAATGGACAGGCGGGAACCTTCTGGAGACCTGGAAATGTTTTATATATGCATCCAGGTGGGAGTTATGTGGGTATAAAAATCAGAGTTGAACACTGAAGAGTAGTGCATGTTACACACATTATACTGTGTGTTGCCTCAGTAAAAATGTTAAAAAAAAATTGGGCCCGTCAAGCTAACGGGATGTGACAGACCTCTACTCTATGTCTTTGTGTTAATATTGCATGGTAGTTGTGGCTGTATGTTGTTTGACCATTTGACTGTAATCCCAAATACACTTATGCATAATATAGTTTTTTAATGGTCACAGAAAGATTACATTTTGAATACTGCAAGCCCACCTGCCTGTGATGCCCGCTGGGGGATATTTTAACTGCCATCTTGTCAGTGGGGCTGTGTAAGTAACTAGTGTCTTGGATGCGTTTACTTTCCTGGGGGGCATGTAAATCAGTCCTGCTATGAACAGGGAGTCTTTGATATCCTGCTGTCTTTTGGGTATCATGGTGTAGCATAGTGTGCATAAGGAAAATCAGTAATGTTTTTGTCCAACTTGGAGTAGAAATACAAGTCCAGATCATACTCATTTACATTGGTCTTTCTTTCTCCTCTTCTTTCCCTTTCCTTTCCTTTCTGGGTTTTTGTTTTGTTTTCGTTTTATTTAAAAACAAATTTAACTGTGATAAAAAACACAAAACATAATTTGCCATCTTAACACTTCTTAAGTGTACAGTTCAGTAGTGTTAAGCACATTAATATGTTGTAAACAATTTCTGGAACTTTGTCAATTTGCAAAACTGAAACTCCATATTCATTAGACAACAACAACTTCCCGTTTCTCTTTCCTTCCAGTCCCTGGTAACCACAGTTCTACTTTCTGTTTCTATGAAATTGACTATTTTAAATACCTCATATAAGTAGAATCATAAAATACCTTTTTTTTTTTGTGGCTGGCTTATTTCACTTAGCATAATGCCCTCAATATTCATCCATGTTGCAACATGTGTCAAGATTTCCTTCCTTTCTAAGATGAAATAGTACTGCATTGTATGCATATGCCACACTTTGTTTATACATTCATCAGTAGATCTTTTGTTTACTTTTAACACCTTTTCCTCCATCCCTCAATTTCCTCCAGGGCGGTGTTATTCAAGCATTTTTTCATTATAGCTCTTTCTGACATTTTCAGACTTGTAGCTAACCCAGCTTGCTCACCACCCATGAAATTTAAATACCACAGATAATACTGTATATCCTTTTTTGTGTTGTATGTATATCTGTGCTTTGTATATGAAAATAATAAACATTTTTACTCCCCTCAAAACCATTTTCTTTCCTTTGGGGACAACATTGCCCCAAATGTATGTATGCTATAGAGAATGTATGCTGTAGAGAAACCCAATTCCAGATTAATACATATAGGCGTAGCCCCAAGTTTACTAAATATACGGTAATGAAGGAAATGGTAGAAAATTGGAGAAAATCTGAAACTCACCTCTCTCTTCTCTGCTCCCACCAAACTCCCAACATCTCCTGCCCTCCCTTAAACAAACAAATAAACATACAAAAAGAAAGAAAGACGTACATTTGAAATATGGCTAGTATAAATGTACAATAGCCATGTGTGGCTACTGGCTTCTGTATTGTATAGTGTAAAATTGAACATTTGCATTATCACAGAACGTTGTAATGGACAGTGCTGCTTTACCAGTTGCATTTAGATGAATTCCAAGAGCCTCTGATGGCCTCCAAGATCCATCATCTACTTACTGCAGCAATTACCTCCTCTTTCAGCTTCGTAGGCACCTGGCAGTTCTTGAACAGTAAAGCTCAGAGCTTTTGCACATGCTGTTTCATGGCCTGGACACCTACCCTCCTCTTCACTGGGCTAACTGCTCACTATTTAGATCTTGTCTTAAATGTCAATTCCAACAAAGACTTGTCTTGACATCTACAATCTAGGCAGTGTTCTCCTGTTACATGCTTTCTTATATTCTCTACTTTTTCTTTGTAAGAAGAAAAATCTTTTAACTGTAATGTTTGTGTGATTATCGATTTACTTAATATTCGTCTCCCTAACAGACAATGAACTTCTGGAAGGTGAGGATAATGGCCACCATTTCACCATCAGCCTCCTGATGCCCAGCATAGGGTAGATGCTATATGAACAATAGAACTGAGGTATGCTGAAAGTCCAGATCCAATGGGAAAGCACCTATGTGTTGGGTGTGTGAAAATTAAAAGCAGTTCTTTATCACTGTAGGATGACTGTAGTTTACAATAACATATAGTTCAAATAGCTAGAAGGAGGATATTGTACATTCCCAACACAAAGAAATAATAAATGTTGGAGATGATGGATGTGCTACGCACCCTCATCTGATCACACTATACATTATAGGTGTTGAAGCATCACGGTTAATGTGCACATTATTAATATGTCAATTTAAAAAATAAAATAAAAAATTCTAGAAAAATGTTGCCGGGAGCTGCGGGTGAGGGAGGGGGGGTGTTCTATATCATGACTGTGGTTGTGGTTACATGACTGTAAATTTGTTAAATGAATTGAACACTGAATATAGGTGAATTTCATCCTTTGTAAATTGTACCTCAATAAAATTTATCTTAATGAAAAAAAAAAAAAAAGAAACCGGCTGGGTGCAGTGCTCACGCCTGTAATCCCAGCACTTTGGGAGACCTGAGAAGGAATCACCTGAGTGATCACCTGAGCTCAGGAGTTTGAGACCAGCCTGGCCAACACAGTGAAACCCCATCTCTACTAAAAATACAAAAATTAGCCTGGCATGGTGCTACATGCCTGTAATCCCAGCTAGTCGGGAGGCTGAGGCAGGAGAATCACTTGAACCTGGGAAGGGGGAGTTTGCAGTGAGCCGAGATCATGCCACTGCACTCCAGCCTGGGTGACAGAGCGAGACTCTGTTTCAAAAAAAAAAAGAACCCCACCCAAATGCAGTCAAGAGACCCCACATACCCACATATTAGGGAGGGAGATAATTATTTATGGTGTTTACTTTTTGCTGTGAGAATGACTTTTAGAACATAGATTTCACAAAAACAGTTTGGAGCTGGACTGGTCAAACTGGTTGTAGAAACATCTTTGATGTGCATGTAAGTTGGGTGTAATTGAGGCAATAAATAGAGGAGGAATAAGTTAACGTTGATGGGCAACGGGGATAAGTTGCACTCATAATGCCCCAGGTTTAGTGCAGGCCGCTTTACTGGGCTTTGGTCAGCTTGGGCAGGATGGTGAGACAGCTGAGCGGGCTGGTGGCAAAGTGATCGGGTCTTGTTTTATTTAAATGCACTGGGTAGGGAAGACTTGGGTGCAGCACCTTATACTTTGCTAGGGGACTTCTGATAGATTTTGAATGAGTTTCTTAAGAAAATCCTGTTCTTCTCTTCCCACATTCGTACCTGTTTCTCCAAGAAAAAAAAAAAAACAAAAAAAAAAACACACATCGAAGTCCCTAGGATGTATTCTGACTTTGGATTTTTATCCCTGACTGTGGCACCTGTCCTGTGGGGAAGAGGAAAGAGTCGCTTTTCAGAGAGAAAGAGAGAAAGAAAGAAAAAAGAAAGAGAGAGAGAGGAAGGAAGGAGGGAGGGAAGGCAGGAAGAAAGGTGAGGGAGGGAAGAGGAAGGAAAGAAAAAAGAAAGGAAGGAAGGAAGGAGGAAAGAGGGAAGGAAGAAAGGGAGGGAGGGAAGGAACGGGCATGGTGGCTCACACTTATAATCCCAGCACTTTGGGAGACCGAGACAAGTGGATGACTTGAGGTTAGGAGTTCGAGACCAGCCTGGCCAACATGGGGAAACCCTGTCTTTACTAAAAATACAAAGGCATGGTGGTGCATGCTTGTAATCCCAGCTACTCAGGAAGCTGAGGCAGGAGAATGGCTTGAACCCAGGAGGCAGAGGTTGCAGTGAGCCGAGATAGCATCAGTACACTCCAGCCTGACTTCATCTCACCAAAAAAAAAAAAAAAAAAAAAGTTATTATTTCCAGCCTCAACTTTGATCTGTCGCCACCGCCGGCATTCCAGAGTTTATCTTGGATCATTGACTGCTTTTGGGCTCTTTTGGCAACCCTAAATGAAAAAAGCAAGCAAGCAAACAAACCCCTAAAAAATAAAAAAAGTAAACAAATTTGTTTTCAAGAATTCAAGTAGTATCCAGATAATGTATGAAGGGAAAGCCTTCCTCTCTGTCCATTTCAGTAACAGCTCCCGCATACTGATTGTTGCCAATCTCTGCGTTTTGCGCTAATCCTGTAAGTCAGTTACAGAATTTCATGTGTATACGTATACACAATGAGTCATAAAAACCACAACCACCTGGATCTGCTCTGTGTCACACTTGCTTGTTTCAAAATCTTCTCAGCGCATTTGCATTTTTCTTGCATCTTCTTCCTTTTTCTTGCATCTTCTTCCTCATGTGTAGCTTAGCAGCCTCTGACGCCTTCCATCAACTGGAGTTTGAATTCTTATGGGGACATAGTGAAAGTCTGAAAGCCAGCCAGGCAGCTGTGCAGCTGTCTTTATGTATCTTACAGCTTTTGCACGATTAACAAAACTGAAAGCGCAGGGCAAAGTGCTCAGTGCCAGCCAAAATAGCACACGCTTTAGTGATTTTACTGGGTGCTGATCTTTTAGCCTCTGTCTTGGCTCTTGAGAGTATAGTTTAGCTCTTAAAGTGAGGTCACCTAGGTTGGAATTCTTGCATCACCAGTTTCTTTGTGACCGTGGCAAGTAGCTTAATCTCTCTTTGCTTCACTTAACCTATGTGCAAAATAGAGACACAGTCACACTGACCTCATGGGGTGGCTTCTTCTTCTTCCTTTTTTTTTTTTTGAGATAGTGTCTTACTCTGTTGCCTAAGCTGGAATGCAGTGTTGCAATCTCGGCTCACTACAACCTCCATCTCCTGGGCTTAAGCGATTCTCGTACCTCAACCTGAGTAGCTGGGACTACAGGCATGCACTACCATGCCTGGCTAATTTTTTTATTTTTAGTAGAGATGGGGTTTTCATCATGCTGGCCAGGTTGGTCTCAAACTCCTGGCCTCAGGTGATGTGCCCTCCTTGGCCTCCCAAAGTGTTAGGATTACAGCTGTGAGCCACTGCACATGGCTGGGCCTTCTTAGAAGAAGGAAAAGACATACTGATGTAAAGCACATAGTAGGTACTTAGTAGATATTATCTATGAAGAATATTGTCATTATGGTAAATTATCACCACTTGTATTTAATAATTTCATCTTGTAAACAGACCACCAGTTGGCCAGTTTTTTTTTTTCCTAAAGACCCAACAACTGAGCCATCTGTATTCTGTGGTGGAGATACAAAACATTCTTCTGTGTATTGAGAATGTAACTCTCAATGAATCCTATTAGGAAGAAAAAGGCCTTCTGTATGGTTGGCATTCTTCCTTTCACCTTTGATGTGATTGTACCAAGAAAAAGCAGAAACATAGGTGGGTGAATACATTTGTTGTTTGCCCACATAACATTAACAGCTGACTGTTGGTTTCTAAAGGAGTATGAAAAATAATCTTGAAATGAAGAGTTTTTTTGTATTTGTAAATACTGTGGAAACATTTTGTGTTTGAATTCTTCAGTTAAACCCTTAAAGAGTCTCTTTGATAACATTTGTGGTCTGATTAGTAAGGGGGTACATTGTAGAGTAATTAGAGATTCAGAAAAACAAGGAGGAAAATTAAAATCCTGCTGAAATACCAATGGTGTGGCTTTTAACATTTTGGCATATTTTCAATACCTTTTGTGTATTTAAAACAATTTGGGATTGTATGCCTTTTCAACCCTATAGGCTTGTATTTTTCATTCACTAACTTGCTCTATCATTAAATGTTCTTTTACAGAATGTTTTTTTTTGTCAGACAAAGTTTTGCTCTTGTCACCTAGGCTGGAGTGCAGTGGTGTGATCTTGGCTCATGGCAACCTCTGCCTCCTGGGTTCAAGTGATTCTCCTGCCTCAGTCTCCTGAGATGCTGAGATTACAGGTGCCCAGCTAATTTTTGCATTTTTAGTAAAGACGGGGTTTCACCATATTGGCCAGGCTGGTCTTGAACTCCTGACCTCAGGTGATCCTCCTGCCTCAGGTGATTTGCCTCCCAAAGTGCTGGGATTACAGGTGTGAGCCACCATGACCGGCCTTTTACAACATGATTTTATTTTATTTTTTGGAGACAGAGTCACTCTCTGTCACCTGGGATGGAGAGTAGTGAGATGATCTTGGCTCACCGCGGCCTCTGCCTCCTGGATTCAAGTGATTCTCCTGCCTTAGCCTCCCGAGTAGCTGGGATTATAGGCATGCGCCACCACGCCTGGCTGATTTTTGTATTTTTAGTAGACATAGGGTTTCACCATGTTGGCTAGGCTGGACTCGAACTCCTGACCCTCAGGTGATCTGCCTGCCTAGGCCTCCCAAAGTGCTGGGATTACGGGTGTGAGGCACCATGCTCAGACACAACGTGATTTTTAGAAATAACTGTGTGCTGTTCCACCATATGAATCTTCTGTTACTGATTTAAACCCTTTATGTATTATGGAACATTCAGAGTTATTTCCAGTTTTTCACTGTGGTGAACATTCATGAAGCTAAACCCATTCATGACGAATTCTATTTCCCCTGTAAGCAATATCCCCAACACTTAGTGTCATTATTTTACTTTCCAATGATATTTTGTTGTTCAATTTTTGATTTACTTATGCACTACTGAGGGTGATCCTGTTTACCTACTTTTCTTATATTTAGTAGCAATTACTTGGTGTTTATTTGTGAATTGTTTCTTTAGGACCCTGATACATTTTGATCAGAATGTTAGTCTTTTCTTGCAGTGAAAAGCTATTTATAAAGGAGGGATATGAACTGTTTGTTTGTCAGTTATTACAATAATTATCTTGTTTTAGTTGTCTGATCATGGCCAGCTTGAACAATATTTATTGGACAAATGGCCAACAATATTTGAAAGAAAAGCATATCTTTATTCCCTAGTACATCAGTTCTTTAATTTTTTTTCATGTTCTTAGTCATCCCTGTGTAAATAGTAGTCATGTAATTTAGAGATTAGTAAATGAAAAGCACAGGTAGAGTTTTGTATTCTGACTTAAGAGTCACGTGTCTCATTCTGTTAAAGCTCTGCCTAAGAAATGCAGTACGGTCCAAAAACCTCATTCCCAAGAAGTCAAATGTGTTTAGAATAAATCACCACTTATGTATGCTTGAGTCTGTTTCCCCCTCCAGCCCCCCGCCAGGTTTTGAAATGATAAAATTAATAATTACTATCTATCCAAGAATTGTGTTGGTCATCAAGACACCTAATACATTTTATGGACCCCACAGGTCCTTGTCATCTGTGAACACTTGAAACTGTCCACATCTTTAAGGCCTGCCCTACCCTACCCTACCAATTTGCCTTTCCCTCCGCCATCCTGAGAGGAAGGAATCCTAAAGGACCTGTCGCCTGACCCCTACCTTTTCCCTGTCTTCTTGGCAGCTGTTCTTACGGGCTTCCTGGGTGCTCTCCTCTCCTGCCTTTGTTCAGCACACTTACTAAGGCCCCCCAGGCAGCTTTCTCCAACCACC